ATTTTGAAGAAGGGTCTAGGCCCGAAACGTCAGCCTTCCTGCTCCTCTGATGCTGCTTGGCCTGCTGTGTTCATCCAGCTCTACACCTAGATGGAAGTGGTCATGGGTTTGGCAGGTGCTGCCTAAGGAGACACTGCTACTATTGAGCATCAGTGGTGGAAGGAGTGGATGTGGTGCCAGTAAGCAGGTAACTTCATCCCGGGTGGTATCAATCTTTTTGAGTGTTGTTGGGGCTGCGCTCATCCAGGCAAGTGGAAAATATTCCATCACACTCCTGACTTGCACCCTGTAGATGGTGCAAAGGCTTTGGAGATTCTAGTGAGTTACTTGCTGCAGGATTCCTAGCCTTTGACCCGCTGTTGTAGCTATAGTATTTATATGACAAATCCAGTTCCATTTCTGCTCAATGGTAACCCCAGGATGTTGATAATCGGGGATTCAGTGAGTGTTGGTTAGATTCTCTCCTGTTGGAGATGGTCATTGTGGCATTTGTGTAGCATAATTGGTACCTGCCACTTGTCACCCCAAACCTCCACATTGTTCATGTGTAGCTGCATTTGGACATGGACTGCTTCAGTACCTGAGGAATCACGAATGGTGCTGAACATTGTGCAATCATCAACAAACATCCCCCATGCTGACTTTATGATAGAGGGAAGGTCATTGATGAAGTAGCTGAAGATGGTTGAACCTAGGACTCTACCCTGAGATATCCTGGAGTTGATGTGACTGACCTCCAACAACCACAACCATTGTTGTATATGTCAGGCATGACTCCAACAAGCAGACAGCTTTCCCCCTGATTTCCATTGACTCCAATTTTGCTTGGGCTCCTTGATACCACAGTTGGTCCAGTGCAGCCTAGATGTCAAAAGCATATATTAATAATGTCACTTATACCACTTGAATGTACAGTTTAAATGTTCACATTGCATGCAATTAAATCAATGACTGATAACTACATGAAACTAGACACGGTCCCTAACTCCAGAAATATTCCATGAGACAGACAAACCTGCCTAAAAGACAAACAAAAACTTGACTGAATTATTTTGTTACTTTAACCTAAAGGGTGACAAAGGACATAGTTTTCTTTTTGTCCCTGGAAGCTCACAGCTACAGGAGGAAAGGAAAATTCTGAATGAAAGGTAGCCCTTGTGCAATTTTAGTAACTGCCTCAGAGAATTGTGGAAAGCTTTGAGAATACAGAGGTCTGTGTGAATCATGTTAGAGTATTGTTTACTTTTACAGTCTATTGATAATTCAACTTCAATTCGTGCGCTTAGAAAATTGAATTGGAATAAAAGATTGCATTTAAATCATAATGTTAAAGTAGGAAAATTTCCCAACTCACTTCGTAGAAATGCAGTCAAGCAAAAAAACTCATATTCAGTCAAAGGACAAGAGCATTTAAAACCTTGACAAACGGAGATAGACTTCAAGAGGGTCCCCAAACTATTTAAAGAGAGAGAGGTGGAGAGACAAAGAGTTCCAGGATGGGAATTTCGTGAGTTTCAGCAGAAGGCACAGCCCAAAGTGTTGTGATGCTACAAGTGTGAGATGGGCTTAAGGCCAGAGTTGGAAGATTGTAGAATTTGCAGAAAGTTATGGACTAAGAGACAATGCAGAGTCAATAATTTGAACATAGCGAACAATTTGACAATTCCCTGTTAGATAATTTGACTTATTCAATAGTTGTTTTACATTAAAAGGTACAGACTGTAATCTAACAGGTAGCTGATTTGGCAAATACGCTGCCTGGTGAAACACCGAACTTCAACCATCTAAAACTTTGTATTCTATCGTACATTTAGATCTAGCTTCCTGTTGGCCCCTGTCCTGATTGATTTACAACTATTCCCATTCTTCCAACATCACTGAATTAAAATCTAACTGGTATTTACACTAATACAAGGACTTGATTTCCTGCATCTCTTCAGCTTCATCCAGTTCTGCAAACTCCATCCAGAACTCTCCACTCCTCTGACTCCAACCTTTTTTAGGAACTTGCATTACCTTCATCCCACAACCTGATGGTGAGCACACAGCAATTAATGACTTACTCTGTGAAATTCCATC